CTCGTGGCAGTAATAGCAGATGTCTTGTCCCACATGGCACTCTCCTCGATGAAGTCGACCACAAGTCGGGCACGGTGGAATCGGCTGCTGTCTCTGTCGGGTCCTCCGGTCAGTCTGTGCACCCTTCCCCTTCCTCTTCTTCTCCTTCGCTGGCTGAGGGGCTGATAGAGCTGGTGAAACTGCAAATGGCTGGACTGGGGCGGATGGCTGGGCACGATCACGAACTGTCTCCCTCCTGATGCTAGCGTCCACCTCCTGAGCGATAGAAACGGCACGAGCGTAGGTCTGAGTTCCGTGTCCCACGATGTTGTGACGGACTGCTGGTAAAAGCCCGTCGATGGACCGCTGCGCTCTCTGAGCCTCCGTGCGAACCAGATCCAGTACGAAAGCTGCAAGTCTAGTGAACTCTCGCTCGTACTCATCAACAGTACAAGTGCCCTGCTGAAGCGCTAAGAACTGACGCTCCATCTCTGCCCGATAGTAAGAAGGGTAGTACTTATCGCGGACTAGCTCCTTGAACATGTCCCATGTACAACCCGCTTTTTCACCGGGACGCATGCTCAAGTAGGCGTTCCACCAGAGCCTTGCATCACCAGTGAGCTGAAGCTGAGCGCAAACTACGCGATATCTATCGGGGCAGTCCATAACCTCAAAGATAAACTCTATGCCCTGAATCCATTCATCAACGATGCGTGGATCTCCCTGCCCTGAGAACTTTTCGGCGTGATAGCCGCGGAACTGAGCGACTACCGTAGCCTGAGTAGGAGCCTGATGATCGGGTTCCCTACGTGGCGGCATCTGAACATTGAGAAAGTTTAACATTACTGAATACGTGATAACATTCTGACTGATTACTAAGGCACACAAATCTTTGACGAGTCGCCAAAAGTGTCCGATAAATACTGACGTGAATCCTGAAGAACTCTAGAGTCATATCGAAAGATACTAAAGTCTAGAGTCATATCTGAATGCCTGAATTCTAGAGTCATGTCCGAACTCTAATGTCTGAACCTGATTCGAGCATCTTAACTAAAGTCCTGATCCTTAATTCTGAGCATAGACAAAGTAATATGTTTATAACTGAAAAACTGAATCAACACTTACCTGTCGTCGGCGGGACGTGAGCATGACGGTTCAGGTTTTTTTGAAAAATTACTGACTGAAAAACTTGTCAGAGATGCAGAAACGTGCTCTGATACCAAATTGTAACACCCCTCCTTATCGTAAAATCAGAGTGCGAAAAATTCGCAAAGTTATTTAAAATTAAAGCCTTTTTACTTTGTGAAAACTGATTCGGGGTGCTACCTTAAAATCGTGAATTAATTTTTGGAAAACCATTATTTAATTTTAAGAAAATTTTCCGGTTACTGAAAGCAATAAGTTCCCAAAAGTTCGTCGAAAGACAAGTTCGTCAAAATTTGAGTACGTCAAAAGACACCAAAAACGTCGTCACAAGTCAACAAAACATCATTAGCGGAAGCGTAACTCATCATAATAATTATACAGTCAAAAACATAAATGTCCTGAAGCCTCCGTCAGCTCATGCTCCCGGCCCGACGTCCTGACCTGAAAAACATGATAAAAGTGGGAAATGAGCACTATGGCACTGTGTTCCGTGGAAACTCATACTAATGTAAACATTGAAAATAATAACAACATCATGATATATGTATATACATAACCTCAACCTCAACCTCAAGCCGGTAATAACATGAACATGAATCTGAAATCGTCACGCAAACGTGACCCTGACCGTTGCCTCATCTGCCGGCAAAGCCGGACACCATGTGCACACTCTAGTGGGCAGACTAGG